CGATATAAAAAGTATCCTGTAAATTTTATATTTTGTACTAGTGAAGCCATCGTCCATAGTTTCAAGAACTAGATGGGCCCATGGAAGTTGCTGAAGGGCTTCTTCATCAGCAACTCCCTCATGCCGTCATAAAGGTAGCATAAAAACATCATCCCTAGGGTTATCTGATTGTCACAAAAGGGGGACTCGGCAATCCTCAAGTGTAGCTACACGAATTTTGATCCCCTTAGGGCCAGGATCCACTGGCTCAATAGAATCCAAATGAAGTCTAAATGCTTCGTAAGGTTGATGAGCTTGTTGATCGGCTTCTCAAAGAACAGCTTCATAATCTTTGTATAAGAGCTTGCACTCCTAATCTTACTCTCCAATTTAGCTAAAAGGGGGATGTAGGAGTCATGCCTCTCAGGGATTGCGTAAAAGTTCTCTTATCTAGAGATAGGCAACCTCAGGTGCATGAAGACGTCCCATAAGTTGATGGACATAGACTCAGAATATGAAGGCATTACAGTATGGAGCCTAGAAACTTAAAAGGGCTATCAGAAGGTTGATCAGGATGTCGACATCAGCAAGACAGTTGAATAAGGTCATAGAGACCCATCTCCTTCCACTAGGGCACATAAGTCAACTTTAAGCGTCTTACCCAGTTGATCCAAGCATGAGGAGACTGGGATTAGTTTCTAAGCTTTTGGCAGGGTGACTCAGGAAAAGACGAGGTCATTTAGGCCAAAACCAAATTGTAGATGGAGGTTAGTGGCCATGGATTTAGTTAAGTAAGGGCTGTCATTTCAGACAAGTGAGGTGAAATAGGCAAGAACCCAATGTCACTCATATTAGAGATTTGAAAATTTGAAGGAGAAATATTAGAGAAAAATAAAGAATAGTTAGCATATTTCCCCTAGTAAAATAGAAGGGCTAAACAAGCAAAGTAAAAAGCTTACCAGAAGTTGACGGAATCATAGAATGAAGAATCCTCTTGTGATGAAAATAAAGAAATATCAAAACGAAGGCCTAATCCAAGGGAAATAAGGTTTTTTCTTTAATTAAATACGTACTGTTACAAATTCATCGAGTGAGGCAATAGGATTTCAGATAGTGGCTAGGGAATCAAGTAGACTTTCGGTGGATATGGAAGACAGAGCAGCAGTAGAAGCAGCGACAAAAGTAGAGGAAGCCATTTGAGAGCAAAGGAAAGATTAGAGTAAGGGAGGCAAATGCTTGAATGTCAAGAAACAGCAGAAAGGGCAAGAGAAGTGACTATACAAAGAAATAAGTTTATATTAACAAAAGGTGCTTAGAGATGAAGTGACATTTCAGTTTTTTCAAATATACCATGTGGCTTATGTTATTAGTCACTGGCATGCAGGGGCATTATTTGGGCTAAAATATGAAATGTTGCTTAGATAGGTCACAGGGTTAGTTGGGTTGAGTAATTGAAAAGTTAGGCTCAGTACAAAAAAAGGGGCCGACCTCGAAGCTCTATAAAGGCCATGATAAAATAAACATGCCGAAATCTTGTTAGTTACAAACATTGGACCATTGGCATAAGAAGACACAATCTCGAGTAATTCCAGAATCTGCGGACATCATGCCCAAGTATCTTGGTGAGATGGGTTGATTACCAAAAATGAAGAACACAAATAAAGATCGTGCCATGAGTTTCGCGAGATCCCTGATTCCTTGGCAAAATGTGCTAGGTTTTAAGGGAGAGGCTATCACTACTCTAACATTATAAATAAAAGATGAAAACACAGAAGAAAGACAATCAACATTCAATCAAAGATTTTCATTTTTACACTTTGTAGCCTCTAGTTTTATCGGTTAGTTTTACTTTCAATTTAGACTTGTAACTTCTCGCATTTCAATAAAATCAAATATTTATTTTACTAAAGCCTTGTATATCTTTTACACCTGAGTAAATTATGGTAAGAGAGTTTGGGACTCTTTTGTTATCAATTAAGACTCAGCATTTTTGGCACGCCTGATATTTGTTGTTCATCACAAACAGAATCATTACCATTTCACTTAATGCAACAATAAGTGATGGATCAAAATACATGATGACCCAACAAGACTAAACTAAAATCTCACAAATTACACTCAATTATTGTATCCCAAAAAGCAACATTGAGTATTGTAGAACTAGGAGAGACTTGATAGTTCAGAAACTATAGGTCTAGGAAGATTTAAAATCCTAAACTCACTTGTAATGTAATATTTTCCTTTAATTTTTAAAAACAGTGTAATATCACCCCTACCACAAATGAAAGTTAACTCTAACTATCAGTTAATCAAAAAATTATAAAAAAGAATCTCAAAAATAATAAAAAAATATAGAAAATGACTAAAAATTTTGAAGTCATTTTTTCTAACTTTTTTAATCAACTAATAGTTAAAATTAATATTTGTTAGTGATAAAAAAGTATTATATCATTTTTAAAAGTTTTGAGAAAATATTATACTAAAATCAAGTTTAAAATTTCAGATACACTCCAATACCTATAATTTTAAGGTGAATTTGTTATTTAACTCGAAACTGATCAGTCCCTGTGAAGGTGGCTAGCCAATCCTAATCAAGCTTAGACCTGCCCCCGCTCCCCCTCCTGCGCGTCCCACCACGGCTAGCCAGAACAACACAAGCTCGTGATCCAGTAGCTCCCAGAAGGGACCCCCTCTGTAGTAAAGCCACGATAAGCGGGGTCCGGGGACACTACTTCCCCCATCTAATCTTCTTCTCATTTTTTCTTTTGATGAAGTTTTGTCATTTTTTCAACCTCTCTATATATGGTTCATATAATCATATCAACACTTGGTCATCAATTTTTGTTGTTACTGCGAGCTTCTCTGGTGTGGATGAAATCTCCCCACATCCATTTATCACCAAATTTTCTTGATGATGTCATTGTAATACAGCAACTTGTGACGAGTGTTACAAACTGTTCATGATAAGATATGGTTTTCATGATTTTAATGGATTAGAAGTCTCTAACATGCTTTCCTCTAATACCATTTATAATGTCCTATGCACCTTTCTGACTTTGTTTTCCTTTTTTTTTTCTTTTTTGAATCGTTAGCTTTTGCATAAAATAAAAAAAAATTCAATATCTAAAAATGCCAAATTGAAAAAGTTTTGTATTGTTTATTTGATTTTTTTTAAGAGAATATCAAAATTATACATTTGTATCTTTGAAAAACCATTAAAAAAAATTACAAAGCTCTATCATTTTATTTTTTAAATAAAATTGAAAAGGAAAGGCATTATAAAAATTATCCGAGAAAATCAGATTAGAAGCATGGAGGCCCCTAGACCAGATTTTGACATGTTTACGATGGAATAAATAATAGGGTCCTGTAAGATTTGCAGCCTCAAACTTTGTCTATATTGTAAATTTAACAAGGAAACCAGTAATATCAAAGTACCATCTCAGACCCATACAAGAGTCCCAATTGCATTAACTGCATTCTGGCGCAGATTGTTTCCCTTGTCTTTCTTTTCTTATCTTTATTGTTGATCACAAACTTGATCTCATCACTAGCATCTTCTCAATTTGTCTGTTTGAGATGAATTTACTTCAAATGGGGTCATACCCACTTGGTTACTTCCAAAGGTGAAAAGGCAAATCAATAGTCTTTGATATGATGGGACTATAACTTATCTAATCAAGAAGGAAGATATTGAACATGTTTTCATCTCAAGTAGATGTCACTTTCTCCAGAGAATAGACAAATCGTAGGGCTTTTCATATGGCAGCTCAAGTTTAATTTCCAAATTATGGAGGAATCTATAATATATGTTTGCCGAATATTAAAGTATAAGCTTTTAATTTAAGTAAAGCTTGACAATTATTTTTTATCATAACTAGGCACATTTCCCATATATAGCAGCGCACCGAGTTTAAAAAAATGAGCGACATTGTTTATCACCTGTGAACAGTACAACTTGTTATAGTTTTTGTGGGACATATATACTCTCTCTGCGAATCATAATATAAAAAGTATTTTTTAAAAGCTTTATTCAATACAAAATATAAGATATTGGGTGAATGTTATATATATATATATATATTTCAATTACACCCTTAATTTATTGAGTAATTAATAATGATGTTTTGAAAAGTCAAATATTATATTTATTATACTTAAGGATAAGATTGAAAATATATGAAAATTTTAAAAAAATAAAAATTATAACTAACTTTTTTAAAAATATAAATTAATTAATAATGGCTTATATATGATATATAAGAATTATATATATATATATAAATTTTAATTTTTTGGCTACAAAACCAGAGTTTGAACCTGCCATTATCCACACCCACCTCACGCTTGTCACTTGAACTAATCCCATATATATTGATTTAAATGCATTTTCTTATATAAAAGGTTTTTCACACTTGAAAGTCCTAACCTGACTAGATGGTCATGAGAACTTTGGTACCTTGTTAACGATAATTTAATTTTAGGTATTAAGTGAAAGATTAAAAATAATAAGTATAAAATATTAAACTTGGGAGAATGACAAATAAGGACCTCATAAGAATATTAATGTCAAATTAGGATTTTTCAACACTAATGTTTCCAAATTCATCACTCTTTCTCTCATGTTTTTGTATTAAAAATCTTGATTTAACATTAATTTTCTTACAAGGTCCTTATTTGTCATTCTCCTTATAAACTTTATAAAAAATCTCAATATTTATAAATTATGAACAATATGATTTATTCTTTAGATTCCGCAAATTAAAAAAGTAATTTCTTTCATTTTAATTTATAACAATGTTATCACATGAAAAAAAATAATATGTATGATTAACGTTTATTTTAATTGTTGGGTGATAATGTATTGTTCTTGATATGAAAAGGAAGAAATTTCTCCATGAAAAAAAAAAAAAAAAACTGTTGTTGAAGTGTCTATTCAATTAGTCCACTAGGGAAGGTCCCACGTACTTAACACTGAGCATGTTCTAAAAGTCTACTTATAGGGCTACACAAACGGGAGAAAGGCAGACATTCATCCATCCTTAGCTTCTATGAACTGATTGTTGCCTTAACCATTGATAACCTAACAGCTTCACACAAATTTCCATCAAAGTTTGCTCCTTAAGAACCTAGAGTGTCTCCTCTTTCATATGTTCTTGTCCCTTTTGTCCTCAAAAAAGTTCTCATAATACTTGAATTTCCTCACTTTCCTAGGATTATTCCAGTGTCTTTGTCTGTATCTTCTTCTTTCCCTGATTTTTTTTACACTTGAAATTATGCTAAAAGATTCAGTAACTAAGGTTACCATAAAATCAGCTGCTAACCACAGCCTCCATCCCTTGCAGAGTTTGAACTCTGAGAACAAACATAGTCGCTTCCTTGAGACTTCCTTTTCTTCATACTTGGACAGAAATGGAGGAGCTTTTGAGAAAAAAGTTGCAGATTCAAGCAAAAACTTCAACTCCTTTAGCAGCAACAGAGAAGATGATGATCATCTTCACATGGGAAAAAAGAAGGGAGAAGACGAAGAAATTGGGGTATTTTCTGCTGAAAAGTACTTCAATGGAGGAATAATGGAGGATAGTCCAAGTGTTTCAAACAACATGCCTGCCAGAAAGTTTCAGCATCATCATCGTCATCTTCCTCATCAGAAAGAAAAACAAGAAGCAAATCTAGAAGAAACCAGAAAGAGCAAAGTTCCCTCAAGAGGAACTCCCAGTGTTCGTTCTACATCAAGCTGGAACAGCCAAAGTGCATTACTGAAAACTGCTCTGAAGAATTCTTCAAGGAATGGTAGAAAAAAAGTTCAAGGGAGAAGTCTCATAGCTAATCTTCGCTGTAAATGCTACTGTTCTGATAAGGATTCTGTTGATGTCAGAAGCAACAATTCTGGGGAAATCAGCTTCAGCAAAAATAGTGTTTCTTTTGGTGTAGTTCATGAGAAAACGTCATCAAGTCCCAAAAAGTCCTTTGAAACTTTCTATTCTGGGTTGGAAGACCAGCTAGTGAATATCCAACTTCAACCAGAATATGAAGTGGAGAAACCAAGGAAATCACTGGAGGTGTTTGGCTCACCTATAATGGAAACCAGAAGCAAGTCCTTGAGCTTTGATAAAAGGTTCAGAAAGCCTTCTTCTTCTTCTTCTTCATGGAATCATCATGCTGCTGCTGCTCCAAAATCAGAAGAAATGGACTTCTCTGCAAATTCAGGTGGGAACTACATTAATGATGCTGCTAGTGATGCAAGTTCAGATCTTTTTGAGATTGAGAGCTTTACAGGAGCCAAATCCAAGCCTTACCTTGCAAGACAAGCATCCGATGCAGCTAACTCGGGCTGTGTCACCCCGACAACTTGCTATGCTCCGAGCGAGGCTAGCATAGAGTGGAGTGTTGTCACTGCTAGTGCAGCAGAATACTCAGTCTTATCAGATTGTGAAGAGCAAAGATCAGTGGCTACCATGAGGAGTCCTATCACAAATACATTTGGTTCTTCAACAAATGGGAAAAGCAAAGCTAATGGAGATATGCAAAGAAGGAAATCTGGAAGTCTCTTGGGCTGCAAGAGTCATAAAGCTGTGAGAGTTGCTGGGGATGCCTTTATCAGACATCAGAAAGCAAGTTCTAACATCCCACAAGTGACAAAGACGGGAAGTTTCGATCCAAGACATGGCGTCCAACATGCTTATGGCTTGCAGCAGCCGAGGCAGAGGTCACACTCTCCGAATGCTTCACAACTCCTGTATGTTTAGTTGAAAGGTTTAGTTCCTTTTGTGTCCTTGCACTATGCTTTTGATGTTTGTTTGATGCGTATTTTCCTTTCAAAATTTGTAGTTGCTTGTTTGAAACTTAATGGAAATGGTTGCTTTGTACGCATAGCTTCCATACCATATCATAGGAACAAAGATGGAATGTGAAATAGATGATAAAGCACTACTTCCAATGTTTTCTCATCAAGCCAAGAGTCTACTTGTATGGTTTTACCTTTATGCTTAGTGTTGAATCTGATTTTAGGATTGAGTTATGAATATTTTGAAGATTGCAATTTTCTTATATTTTTATAATAATAAAAATGATAATAAGAATAAATTATTGAAAAACTATTAGTCAAGAAATCATCAATAAATTAAAATCGAAAAATGTTTGACAGAGTCCTAATAATTTGAAGAATTATCTCTTGAAAAGAAACTACAAACTAGTTCAAAGTGTTAGAAGATTCTCCTAAAAGAGGACAGACCAGCAAGCAAGATTATCTAATAAAGAAGAGACTGAAAAGAAAAGATTTGAACCTTGCATGTAGATGATGCCAAGTCTTAGTATTGATATTTTCAAGGGAAAATATAACTATTGATTGTTGTAATTTTAACATGTTATGGTATAGGTACTTGTAGTTTTGTTTCATTACTTTAGGTTTCTTCAGTTTATCTCGTTTATAACATTAGTTCCTTTATTTTTAAACATTTAAAAGAATGATGAGATGACACTAATAATGTTAAAAAGTATGACCTGTAACTAATGTTGTTAATTTATTCTGAGATGGAATTATAATTCAATAGACTAAAACATGAAAAATGAAACAGAATAAGGTGGACAACACCATTAATTTATAGAATCATAATTCAACTTTAGCACAAATTAATAACGTTAGTCATATATTAAAATATTTAAAACCATTATCTCAATCTCATAGTCTTTTTGGGCACATTCAAAAATAAAAGAACTAATATTGCATATGGGATAAACTAGAAGGATCTAGAATAATTAAAAAAATTATAGGAACTTATACCAAAACTATTAAAATTATAGGGACCGATAGTTATCTTTTTCTATTTTCAATTATATTTTCTTAATGGTCCTTTAAACCACCAAAGAAGGGAAAAAAAAAAGCAACTTAACCATCCTCCACCACACAAAATAATAATAGTAATAATAATAATAATAAAAATAAATAAAATAAAAAAATAAAAAAGAAAAGGAAAGAAACGAAAAAGAAATCTGCAAGGAACAATGAGAGGCGCTTTTTGTATTTCTTAAATCTTCTGCAATGACAAAAGAAATTTATGGCAGAACCGAAGTTTCTTCTTTATGTGAATAATGATGAGGACTTTTAATTGCAAAGTGAATACAAGTTAAAGTTTCTTTCACTATTGAATTGAAGTGCACTGAATATATTTACTGGACAGAATACAACTTTCAAGACTGATGCACACTGATAGAATGTCGTTACAATGACATGCAGCTAACAACAACTGAACCTAAATAAGCACCAAAGCAATGAAGCAAGTGAGCATTCAATTCCTAAACTAACTGATGAATAAGGTGGTCCCTTCTCCTTCAATCTAATCAACAACATATTCTTGTGTCAAGTTTTGGCACCAAGATAATAGGGACAGCACAAAGGCTAAGGCTCTCACGCACAAAGCCTTTCATCATTAATTCCTCTACTTGGCACTAGATCTCCTTAGTTTCTTTAGGGCTAGCCCTATAAGCAGGCTTATTTGGAATAGTAGCTCCGGGCAAGAAATCTATCCTATGTTCAATTCCTCTTAAAGGAGGAAGTCTATCAGGAATTTCATCAAGGAATAAATCTCTATAATCCTGCAACAAAGAGACAACACTAGAAAAAAAAGTAGGGTCAAGAGTATCAGTAGAAAAATAAATATTCTTGAGAATTACAATAAGATCTCGCTCACTTATTAAAGCCTTTTGAATCTCACTTTTCTCAGACAATAATATTTTCTTTTCATTATTTTTTTTTCACTCTCACTATTCTATCTTTTTTCTCACCTTCTCATAACTCTTTTTCCTTTCTTTTGATTGATTTTCAAGTAAAGTAATACTCTTTTTCTTTTCTCTTACTCATGCCACAATCAAGGAGATCTCTCCTTTGCTTGTAATCTTGAGCAATCTTCAATTGATCTTCATAGGCTTGGATGGACCTAAGAGGATTTAATACAATAGTCTTGCCTTTAAAAGGCACCTTGTATTAATTTCTGAAACCATCATGAGTAGCTTTACTATCAAACTGTGAAGGCCTACCTAATAATAAATGTCCAACAAGTATAGGGGGCTACATCATATAATACATCACAAGTATAAACCTTAACAGAGAAAGTAATCAACACTTGCTTAGAAACCTTAATGTTAGCACAATCATTCAACCATTGCAATTTGTAGGGCTTAGGGTGGGGAATTAAAGGTAGAGATAATTTATCTACAAGTAAAGTGCTAGCTATGTTAGTGCAACTACCACTATCAATTACCATGTTACGTACTTTCTCTTTGATGAAGCATCTAGTGTGAAAAATATGCTCACGTTTCTTATGTTCATCATCCTCCTTTGGTTGAATATTAAGAGCTCTTCTTGCCACCAAGATAAAGTCAACTACATGATTGTATTCAAGCTCATCATTTGATTCATGGGAGGCAGAATCATCATCAACATTATCAGCATCATCTTTATCACTTTCATGCATACTATCATAGCCACCATCATCTCTTAAGATCATAATTCTTTTATTGCTACAATCTCTCACCATGTGACCCACACCATGGCATTTAAAACACTTAATAGGAGAAGTGTTAGATGAATAAGAAGAAGGTTTAGGGTTATAAGGTTTACCCTCATACTTGGTCTTTATTTCTTCCTTGGCCTTAGATGTATCTTTGGCTTTGGAATCCTTCCATTTGGAAGTTGCCTTGGAGTCTTTCTAAGAAGACTTAGAACGTTTGCTCTTATTTCTCTGCCTCAACTTTATAGCTTTATGTATGAGCTCTTCCTTGTCCACAAAGGTGTACAAGTCAAGCTTATCTCTCAACTCTGGCCTCAAGCCATCTATAATTCTTGACATTACTTCACGTTCATTTTCTTGAATGTTTGCATGAAATTTCAAGATATTCAACTCATTCACATACATGTCCACTATCATAGATCCTTGAAAAAAATTCTCAATTTTCTATTCAACTCTATGTAGTAGTAGCTGGGGACATAAGCCTTTCTCAAGTATCTTTTAAGCTTCTCCCATATTTTAATAGGCTTTTTTCCAAGTTGGCTTCTTTTGTACTGTAAATCTTGCCACTAATAAATAGCATAGTTAGTAGAATTCAAAGAAGTAGTTTTTACCTTCCTTAACTCAGACAAATCAAGATTCATAAAGATTTGGTCCATCTTCATTTCTTAATTAAGGTATTTTTCTAGATTGTTGCTACCTTTAAATGAAGGATACTTTACTTTCTAGTTCAGTAAGTCAACATCATGCTTTGAGGATTTCTTTCATTTAAAAGAAGGGAGTTCTTCATACTCCTCATCATCGCTGGGGGTCTCATACTTCTTTTCCTTTTTAGAAGAGGACATCTCGGCTCATCTTGATCCTCCTTATGGAACTTATGATCAAGTTCCAAGCGAAATTGTTGCAACTGTATTTTAATAAGTTCTAAAACAAAGTTCATATCAATGCTAGGGGATTCATCCTTGTTACTCATGTTCACAAAAGCACTAGAAACCATATAAGATAAAAATGAATCTTCACACACATAAACTCACATGTTTACTCTTAAGAGAAATAAGATCACTCATGTTTCACAAAAAGAAAAAAAAGGTTTTTTTTTTAATGATGAAAAACACACTTGCCTTTTACCACTCACTAAGCTTGTGGATAGAATTTAATGGTGAAACCAAACATAGATCAAGAAACTAAGAAACAACCAAGTAAATATCTTCTAAATTAAGGAAACTAGAAAACAACACAAGATGAAAAGAGGATATTTTTTTGCAATTTTTTTTTTGAAATTTTGAAACAAATAGGAAAGCAAAATTTTCAAATAAAATCAAGCTTTCAAAAGGAAAAACCACATGTGAAAAAAAAAATAGGAAAGAAAGAAATGAAAGTCAAAGAGTCAAATACTCAAAGATAAAAATAAGAAGCCAAATAGAATAGGAGAATAGCACAAATAGCAAAATAGGAGAGTAGATAATTTGAAAAGTGCTATCAAAAATTAAAAATAAAAAAGTGACCAAAGTAGAAGACTTTCTTATCATCCAAGTTGATTTTTCTCTTTAGGCAACCTCTTAGTGACTTGGAGTTCAAGAATAGCTTTTTTTATAGTCACAACTCATAGCAATATACATATATATATATACACATACATATATATATATATATATATATATTTGTAATTTTTTTTGAATTTTTGGATTTTTTTTCCTTTTTTTCAATACACTAACACTTTTTCCCCTTTTTGTTGCATGAATTTCTAGGTAAGTTTTTCTCTATTTTTTTTATGAGAAGGCTAATAAAATTAAAACTCACATAAAATGAAAAAGTCACAAAGATGAAGAGGAAAACCAAAAGACAGAAGTAGATAGGGTAGATAAGAGATGATCACAAAAAGAAATAACTCAAGATGAAGAAGAAGAAGAAAGGACAAGAATTCAAATCACAGCTAGAAAACTAGCAACCAAAGCTCTAATACTAATCTAATAGGGGACACGAAAGCAGAATCGTGCTAGTTTAGGGATAGAATCCTAAACACAACAAAAACACAAGAACAAAAAGAAAGGGACGAAATGTATGACGAAAATAAAGAAAGATATGAAATAAACAATGGGATTATGATCAAGGAAAAGATCCTCTAAAGCACTTGCCTCTAGGAACCTTAACCTTCGAAGACACCATAAGAGTTGATCACGCTCTTGATCATGTCTGTTTCTCACACGGGATGCCACCACAAAGCACTAAGGCTCACAAGAGTTATAAACTCTAAAATGAATAATTTCATTCAAGTTCTCTTCTGTTTACAAGAGGGAGCATGCCTAATATATATAGGCTTATAGAGAAGAATATTTTCTAAAATTAAAACCCTAATTTTCTAATACTAAAAGGGAAAAGAAAATAATATAAAATAATGAGAAAATATTCAGCCACATAATTTAGGAGATGTGATCCTAAAATTATGGG